TAGCTACGGCTGTAAGGATTCATGGTGTCCTCAATCTGGCCCCTTTTATTGTTTTGACCAACAGGATCGCCGACAGACAGTACAGAGATGCTAGACCACCTCACGCTGCTACTGTTTTAAGCAGGATTGCATAAAGAACAGCTAAGTGTAGATTTAAGTTATAGTTTTGCCTTTAACATTTAAAACATTTACAGTCTTAAACAATAATGTACATCTTAAATAATATCGTATAGACTATGTTGAGTGGTTAGATTGTTAAGAACATTCATGTCGATTTAGTAGTTAAAATATAATTTAGATCTTAGGTTTCATTGCATTATGTCTTGTAATAGTATTACTTTTTTATAGATATTATTATTGCACTCTAACATCATATAAAATATATCAAATTAATTAAAGTAATGCTACATTTCATACATTCTCTTAAACTTTACATTTCTTGTATTTTTTCATAGTCTTTTCATAGAACATATTTAATATTATTTACATACATAGTTTTACTCAACAAATAACCACTATAATAATTATTAAAATTGTACAATGCTATTTATCATCAGAATTCATCATGAATAAATATAGTCATTAGTTTTAAGTATTATACAACTGTGTTTTGTTTTTCTGTACATGCCTGGCGCCCAATATCTATATATCTTTTGTTAATTATTACTGATTAATTTTCTCTCTAGTGAAATACCTTATCCACGACTGCTCTCCGATGAAAAGCTGCCGTTCGCAGTGGTAGTGGTTTAAAAAAACGCTACAATGTTATGTTACAATCCATAATAAATATTTGGATTTTCAAGACATATTAATATTTTATTATCTAATCTAGTTTAACCTTATTTAACTCTTCTCTGCTGTCTCAGTACTTTTTAGCAAATTCATTTTAGCAACATTTTAAACAATTTAGACTTGGTTTTTAGTTCTTAGACTTGGCTTTTAGTCCGTCCCCAATTCAAGCCAAGCATAGATATGTTTTCTCCGTCAACCGCAGAGTTCGCGTCAAATTCGTCTACCTTTTTACAAAGGGGAGCTCGAAAAATATTGCACCGAGGCCCCCAGTTGTCAATCAACGGCTACCTCGACGGCTACTTTATTCTTAGTCTACATTTAGATCGAGACAATTTAAATTTACCTAATGCTATTCATTCTTTTTTTTTTGCTGTCAGTCAGTCATATTATTAGTTATTAATAAAAGAATAGTGGGTAAAACTATACAGGGTGAGCCTTAAATAAGTGCAAATATTTTCAGGGGTGGTATATTTCGACCCCAGCAACACGTCTAGAACGTTTTTTTGCACAAAAAGATGTTAAAAATCGAGCATTTTAAACAAAAATAACAAAAATTTTCAAACCGAACAAACAACAGATGATTATTAAAATTATAAGTGTGTAAGACATTTTACAATAGTTATTTTACAAATTGGTGTTTATGTTTAAAAGCAACTGACGATTATACTGATGCAAATTGATTAGTTAGTTATGGATCACTAAGGATCTTACGTCACTTTAGTTAGAAGATAATTTTTGCTAATCCAATTTTTTTTCAGCTCTGATCGGGACCGGCCCACCGGCCCATTTTTTCACCGGCCCACCGGGGATTTTCCCGTCTTCCCATATGGCCCATCCGCCCTTGAAAACAACTCAAATGAGCAAGAGAAAAACTTATGTCTACCGTTTCTGGAAGTTCTTGTCAATAGAAATAGTAGTATATAGAAAAACCTCAGTATATACAGGGTGTCCCAGATATAAGTGCAATTTTAAGGGGTGGTAGGTCTAGTCAGAAGAAAGATTTTTTCTCTTTACCGTTTTTCAAATAAGTCCAAAATAACCGAGTTACTTTACTTTGAAAATTTCCAAAAAAAAATAATTTTTTGCTAAAATTTTTTCTGGATTTTTTTTCATGTAAATTTAAGCCACTAATCATGTGTTTTAACTTAAAATTAAAAAAAAAATCCAAAATTTTTTTCAAAAAATTCCAAATTTTCAAATTTTTTTTTTTTGCAAAAATTACCTCATAGGTGTGTTTCTGAGGACGAAATATACTACCAGTTAAAATATTTGCACTTATTTTTGGGACACCCTGTATAGAGAACAGATACACGAAACAGTATGTGAGTCCTCAGTGAAACTATTCTGAGGCAATCAAAATAGGAATAGTCAAAATGTAATTCCACAATAATGTAGTGACCAAGCATAGTGAGGAGCAAACACCCGATGCATCACTTAATGCTGAATTAAATAATATTAAAACGGATTGGCTTCAGAATGGTTACTCTAGGAAGTCTCTAGACAGAAGATATATCGAATTGTAAAACTGACTCCTTAGAGTACTAGTCTGAGGAAGATGCGCTCTCTCTTGATGATGTAAATCATCAAATGATGCAAATCATAAAAAAAAAACATCAGAAAAGATAAAGCGAATAGCCAAACAATATAACATTAAAACTGTTTTCAAATTTGGAACGACTCTAAGAAGGTTCCTAACAAAACGAAAACCAGAAAACAAAAGAAACAGTGCATCTATCAAGTATACCTTGTGAATGCGGTGAGTAATACTAGAGAGACTAATCGTCCTGTGAATGTAAGATAAAAAACATGTACAAACAGGTAAAAGAATGAAGTTAGGTATTGCAGACCATATGTGGTCCAAATAGCACAATATAAAGTGGTTGGAAGCTCGGGTTGTTTACAAGGAACCTCATTGGAAGAATGCAACTTTAAAGAAGCCGTTTTTATATAAAAGAACAATGACAACCACTTATAAGATGCATCAATACGGACATTCAAAGTGAATATCCTCAGGCTTGAGTGCACCCATCATATTCACAGGTGATTGCCTTTCCCTAAAATATAAGCTCAGTATAGTCTTAGGAGTAAGTTTATTTACTACACTTGATAGCGGTCAGTGCTACATCTGATCGAAACGTTCTTTAAGTTAAAATAAATAAATAAAGACAATTGAGGAGTCCAAAATTCCGTTAAAATCAATACTGGCTCATTGTCTACCACATCCAAAGAAATGTTCAAATTATTCCTCACCAACGTCTAGAAAGCAACTTCATTATAAAAAATATCATAAATAACTATACATTTTTTGAACAGAATTATCCGGCTTTTTCCTGCAAAAAAAAATCTACAAAATAGAAAAGTAATTTTTGTAAACACCATTGCATTCAATGCAAGACGTAACCAGCTTGTCGATCACTACAAATTTGTTCTGCTGTCGTCAAAAGCAAAAAACTCAAAGAAGGAACTATTTAAAATATCTAATACAATGGTCAAAAACACTTTAGTTTTTAGCAGATACGTCTGTTATAAACATATCTGTTAAAATTGCATTACGACGCAAATGGAAATCTCGTTTACACTTTTCCAAATTTTCTTCTTGTGAACAGTTGAAGGGAAAAACAGACGATGTCACAGAACCGACTTGCAGAGAAAACTGATTTAATGGTATTCCCAACAGATTAAGTTGATTACTTATTAAAAATTCCCAAAAAATCCCCTAAAAATTTAATAATAACCATCAACTAATGAAAAGGAAATGATATTACCATAGGAACGAGTTTTCATTTTTGGAACTTTCAACTATCAAAGTGGTATATTTTTGTTATTTTTAGCCCAATTTTCATGATTTTTTTAACAAGCTGTAAATAATTATTTCAACTTCAATTCGCAAACTAAGTTTTTTTATAAACTTTAGTATTTGGCATATTATACAGGGTTAATCGAGGGGTTGTTTTTTACCCTAACTTTAAAACACTCTGTGCCATAATTTCGCTTGTAAATTTTCCCGAAATATCATTTTACGGATCAGAACCGTGGCTCCTGAGCATTTTGTTTTTTGATTTATGTCAATATTTATGTTTTGGTTAATTTTTAAGAGCGAAATGAACTGATCACGATCAATTTGCAATTTTTTCCTATCATTACTTTTTATGTAATATTTTAATATGACGATTGTTTTTCAATAAACTTTAATAACGATGACAAAACTAACAATATAGAAGGAAACATCTGTAATACTTAAGTATACAAACAGAAAAAAAATGTAAAAAATCCCCTAATACTTTGTATTGCCTCCCTTGGCTGCTATAACTGCCTGTAAAGGTCCGTTCATACTGCCATTGAGGCTGCATAATATATCATATTGCGTTATGTTTTCCCATTCCTCTTTAAGGACCAAGCTAAGTTAATTTAATGGAGTTGGTACTGCTTCACGACCTCGAACCCTCTTGCCAAGGAGTTCCAAAACGTCGAAAGATGGGCTGTTCATAGTAGTAAATAGTTCACAATAATCACCAAAGTCGCCTTGTCATATTGAAAAATAACTTCAATAAGAAATAATAAGTGAAAAAATTTCAAATTGTTCGTGACAAGTTCGTTTCGCTCTTAAAAATTAATCAGGGTATGTATTGACATGAACCGATGATGAACAAAATACTCAGGAGACATGGTCCTGACCGTAAAATTATATTTTAGGAAAATTTACAAATGAAATTATTGCACAGGGTGTTTTAAAGTTAAGGTAAAAAAAACAACCACTCGAATAACCCTGTATAATATGCCAAATACAAAAGTGTACAAAAAAATTGAGTTTACAAATTAAAGTTGATATAATTATATACAGCTTGCTAAAAAAATCATAAAAATTGGGCTAAAAATAACAAAAATATAACACTTTAAATTAGACCAAAAATTTCTTTGTTGCGTTTTCTTTTGCATCTGAGTTTAAATATTCTTTTTTTTTCTTTATACGGTATGGAAATTTGGAAAAGTATAAACTGGATTAACCATAAAAAAATACACTTTTATCGACAATGCATCTTTCTCAAAAAGTTATCAAAAAAAGTTTTTCCTCTTGTAGAGACAATACCGTAGATTTCTTTCCAGCGACGAAAAACACTGGTGAAAAAAGGTATAAACATTGTTTAGCTTTTAATTAATATAACACGGGAAAATTCAATCAGCTATTTCAGAATTATCACACAACTTACTTTTGTAAATTCAGTTTGTTCACACTGTTTTCACTTCATTCACCTTCACAAATAAAAAAATAACTCAAAACCTTCAATATTCGTCCGAGAATTTCTCACATAGTGTGAAAAACAAATAAAATCCCATCGTTTTCGAAAAACGAGTCTATTTCGAAAAAAAATGCCCGTCGAGTGGCCACCGAACGCCGAAATCCAAACAATCAACTCTCTCCGCCTTGATATTGTTAATATCTGTGACAAACTTAATTAAATTGCCGGCCGTGCCGCTAAACCGAATCTAAATATGACTGGCTTACGTCTAAGCCCGCTGCCAAGTGACTTTAACAACATTAAAATGTGATATCGGTCCTCTGTTATCACTAAAACCCCGTATTCGGTCGACCTTCCCTCTCCCACACGCTGCTCTAGCTCTGTATCCTTCTCCCACCCTCGAAAAACCCAATAAAGCGTCTCTTTCTCGTACCGATGCTGGGTTGTTTCGCTCTATTTCATTGAGCACTTGATGCCCTTGTCTCTTATTCGCGTGCCGTCTCTGTCTGTGTCGTGATGAGTGAGATGTGGCGGTCTTTGTCTGGCTTGTTGTAGGGGATGGAGCGCCCTCTGTGTCTCGGTGGTTAGTGTTGAGGCAGAGACGGAATTAGGGGTAGGTTTGATTTTTTAATGGCAATTTGATGGATAAAGAGATTATCGCGAATGAGTTTTCGATATTAGCTTTCAGTGTTTTGAGATGATTCAAAGTCTTTATTAGATTATTAATATTGCAGTTATATTCTTTCATTTGGAGTCTTTTACTCCTACATGGAGTATGGGGCTTCCGTAAATACTCTACAGTAGGTTCAGTCTTTTGAAATTGATCTTTTGCTTCACCATACAGTATGACCAATCTGCTTCCATTTAATTGGTTTTTCTTTTTCTAATCATCATTTCAGCTTATTCAACCATTTCCAAGTGGTGTAGCCTCTTTCCACATGCCAAGAAAATATATTCGCAAAGTAGGCTCTAAAAAATATCATGACTTTGAAGAAGAAAAATATGGAGTGGCATAGAAGACGTACAATCTCGAATGTCCTATAGAACAGCGGTAGACAAATAGGTAACCAAATCAACTTTACAGAGAAGATGTAAAAATCAGAATTTAGAAATATATGGAAGACCTACAGTTTTGAAAAAAGAGGAAGAAGACGAACTTATCAGAGGCAGTTTTATGAGAAAATCTACGAAAAACAACATTTTGTGTTCCCAGATTTAGCTGATGAGTATGATAGCACAGAGGATAAAATTGTGAGAGTGCTAAAAGCAGAGGACGTGAGCATTACTAGTGGCCGCCATAAATTTAATGGATAAGAAAATACTGATTGGCTACAATAAGAAGAATGCAATCGATGTATTTTTTTTGTGTTTACAAAATGTTTTTTTCGAGGGGTCAACCACCATGTTAAAAAATGCACAATGATTTCCATATTTGGCAATCACTCATCAGTTATTCCCATGTATTCCCAAATATTACCACTGATTTCCACTAATTGCCAAGTATTTTTATGTGATTCCTAAGTGATTCCCAGTTTTTTAACGATTCCCATGTGATTCCCGATTGATTACCTGATTTCCTCGCTGATTTCCTAAGCAATCACCTGATTCCCAGTCAATTTAATTACAAAAACAATGTTTAAGTGTTTATTTTCATTTTATTGTGATCGAAAAATATGTACTAGCCGCATCTAGCAAAGAAAATTAATATTTTAAAACATCAGAAATTTTAAAAAATATTTCTTCATTACGCCATAAGCATGATTTCTTAAAGATTTCATTATATTTCATTATAAAATTTCAAGTTATAATAATTAAAATATACTGAAACTAAGAAAATTATTATGAATGACATACGAGATTGCGAGATACATTAACTAAGTAAAACTAAAACATACATAATATATGTAGGTTATATTTGGCTCGTAAGTTAAACAGAATAAAAAAAAACATTGTACTAAAAATATTGAGGCAGGTACTGCAATAGGAACATGGCATTAAAAAGACATTGGCTAAGAAAAACTAAAACATTATTACCTATTTAAAAAAAGAACGAAACTGATAAATAGTAAGTATCTCAATAGATAAATTATTAACATTTAAAATCTTTGTATTTTTTGTTAATGGCAACCAAATGGTTTCTCATTATAGTAAACGGATCACAGCCACATAATTTGATAGGTCCATGAAAAATGAAACGTCGATAAACTTCTTGTATATCGGTTTTTTTAGTTCTTTTTTGTCCTTACGATTCAAACCGTAAGACTTTGTTCCTATTATGTTTATTGAAGAATTTTTACATTTTCTAATGAATAAATATAAATATTTTTAATAAGTTTACGCTAAATCTAGTTTTTCTTTCCTATAAATAATCATCTGAGAAAAAAATTTCAACTCAAGATGTGTGTTTGGTTTGGATGGAGTGTATTTTTTTATTTTTCTGCTGGCCCAAAGTCCCAAGTAACCCGTGAGTAGTTTAACATGCATTTTAGGTATAAAACCGTTACAAACCCCAATGCGGGGAAACTTGGGACAGTACATATGTTTTTTTTTAAATATTCTTACATTAGGGGCCATTTATGATGGTTTATAGGTTAAATACATATGAAGGAAATTTTCTATACATAAATTGTTGCTTTGTCTTCACAAAAACTTTTATAAATTACCACATGACTAAAAAAATTATAGTGAATTCGTCCCAAGTAACCCCATTTTACGGTAATCCATACAAACTATCTAAAATTGAAAATATTTAATAAAAATGATTATTAGTAAATAATATACTGTAGAAATAAGATGTTTTTAGATAGTTTCACAAAAAATGTAATTTTGCAAAACAGTTTATTAATATTAAATAATTATTACAAAACAATGTTATTTTCTCAATGAGTTTTGTGAGCTTAAAAATTAAATTTAAATCTGAAATACAATCTTGTAGTAAAATTGCATGTGTATCATATTCATAAAACTTGTGTAAATTTACCATAATATATTTAGTAAAAAATGACGCCACGTCACGTGACTTCTTGTAAAGCTGATGCCACAGAATATCTAGCTACGCAACAGAAAAATACTCGAAATGAGAGAGCTAAAATTGCACAAATAAAATACTAGATGGCGCGACAATATTGCGTAGCTAGATATTCTGTGCTGATGCGCATTATGTATTCGATTGACAACGCAGTTAAGAGGAAAGACTAAGAACTGTTCAGGAGAAAGTCTCAGAGCGTGGGTGATTAGTGTTTTTATAATTTAATGCTAAGTATATTACATTAGTATGTAGTTTCTGTAAATATAAAGGCAGCCCCCCAACTTAGAAAACGCCATCTCCATTTATTATAATTATTTGCATTTTAATTTCAGCGATTTTATAAACATAATTGTTCCATGATCTCTCTATATCAACATATTATCTCAAGTACTAAGTATTTATTCTTTCAGACTGTGTTTCGGAGGACAAATTTAATAGAGGACCGAAGTAGAGAACTCTATACACCCATAGTCTCTAAGTTGGTAAGTTGACTGTTTTGATTAAATACTTTTCTCTTGTATGTTTTTTTTAGTTTGTATTTAACGGCAATTTTGTTCTTATTTCGGTTAGGTTCAGAATGCCAGTAAGGTTCTTCTAGACAAGAAGAGATGGCAATGAGTATCTTACATACATAAGTTCTGTTTTGTTACTTTTTATTAACCTTTACAATAAATATTATAATTATAAATACCTGTTTTATTAAATTTATTAATATTTACTAGGTAACGCTTTGTGAATTTACAAAAGTAATTGTAAACTCACTATAATAAAATGTTTTTTAATTTGTTGTTACTCTAAAGTAATAGTTCGGGAAGTTTTAATTTTAAAAGATAAATTTACACGAGATACATATTTTTTACATAAATTCACAAAGAATGTTGGTAAATATAAAGATATACTATAACATACACACTTGGCCAAAATTATTGCATATAACGATATTTTTATTTTATTTTGGACCTAATATGATTCTTTTTATATTTTTGGACATATTGGCTTACTACACGACTAACTAATATAAAATTAAAAATCTAAGTGCAACTAGGCTGTTATTATAATTTTATTTCATAATGAGTGAAAATCAACAAAAACAAATTTCATTTTAAACAGAAAATATTGAAAACAATTTTAATTATTTCTCACAACTAATAGGCTGTATTGCCTCCTCGAGCCTCAATGCAAGCTGTGAGACGACGTGGCATGCTCTCAATTAAGTTGTCCAGAAGATGTTAAGGAATGGCTTCCCATGTTTCGCGCGCAGCAATTTTGAATTCATTTAAGGTACGGGCATTTCTTTTGGCAATATGGCGTTTTAGCATGTCTCAAGCATGCTCGATCACTTTCATATCTGGAAACATATGTGGCCACCACAGTTTTCTTATACCCTCTTGCTCACAAAATTCGCGAACCGCTAAAGTGCGATGGGGAGGATCATTATTGTCCATGTAAACAAATTCATTCCCCACTGCCCCTCGAAATGGACTCATAATAGGCTCTAAAACGTCTCTAAGATATGAGGCACCTCTCATTGTGCCATCAATCAAAACAAGAGGAGTTTGAGCTCCGTGCATTATACCTGCCCATACCACAATGCTTCCCCCTTAAAACGGGACACGGGGTTGGGCTGCATTCAAGAGTGCTCGTCTTTCAGATGCTTTGCAGACCAAAGTTCGTCGCGAGTCTGACACTAGGTCTATTCTGGTTTCATCACTAAACATGACGAAATTCAAATTAGGTCCATTTGCTCTCATCTATCTGCTCAGCCCATTGTAGTCGCGTAATTCTGTGTTGTAAATTAAGCTTCGAAACACGTAGAGGCCTCCTTAAATGTAATCCTCTGTCATGGAGTCTCCTTGCTATGGTATTTCTTGAAACATTTACTCCTTCAAGGCGAGCTAACTCATTTTTATTAGCAGTACTAAAAAGCAGGGGATCGCGTCGTGCGATATCGCGGATCGCGGATCGCGTCGTGAGATATTTGACGGTTTTGCACAGCAAAAGAGTTACTACTCTCTTTCTACCTCTTCTTCCAGGCCGGTCTGTAACCTCGTTTGTCTCCCTGATTTTTTTTAATATTCGCGAAACATCGCTTTGTTTAACTCCTACAATTTCAGCTATTGCAACTTGCCGGTAGCTCTGTTGAGACAGTGTTACTATTCTGACTCTATTAAACTGTGAAATAATGTTTCTAGGCATTTTAAGGCCAAAACAATGGTCAAATTTCTTCTGAAACCCAAGAGACCACAAATCGA